ATCTATTTGATCATATATCTACATAATTATATATAATTATATATATTAGATTGTTATATATTACATATTTATGTTATTTGCTTTACATATAATATATTGTAAAATATAGAGATTATGAATTTGTCACTTGAAACATGTTTCAAATAATTCAACAAAACTAAAAAAATAGACATTTTAAAATTATACTTTGGTTCTAGGTTCTATACTTTTGTTTCTAAAGTGCAAAGAATGTCACTTCTGTGATAACATGACCAGAGTTTATCAGCAAATGTGATATTCATCTAGGAGGAAGGGACATATTTTTGTCAAGTAAAGAAATTTTATACGACTTTTAGCCATGAATTATTTTTGATTCAGAGTCAAGTTGCCTACCTGCATTAAACTCAGCGTCTACCTTTCTAATAGTAAAAATAAAGGTCATTTTTTTGTGCATCCTACTCCCTGTATTTACCAATATAAAGAGATATTTGGAGAAATCTATGAGAGACTGGAAGGTTTATGGAGACAGCAAGAAATACATTTGGATCAAAACAATGGATGTTACATTTGCTGAGCTGGGTCCTGTGTTCCCAGGCAGACCAAATCATCTGCAGCAGAGAGCTCACAATACAAACAGTAATTCAACTATTAGCTTCCAGATTCTCTCCTGGCAACCCTGAAATTCTGTTTGGGGCCATATTACCACTGCTGTGCCTTGGTAGCATTTTATGACACATTCAATCTTTCACAGATAGTACACTCAGTAGTTCCAAGTCTCAGTTCTCTTATTCTCATCCCTCAAATCATTTAGAGCTAAATAGAAATGGAAGTGAAGCTGTATCCAAATTATCCTTTGCTTAGTCAAGAGCTGGGGGGACATAGTGCAGACTTTATGTTAATTATCTTTGCCCAGATCACACATCTCAGGGAATAATTGACATAATTAAAAGTGCTATAACATCATTCAACATCGTTAACTGTAGCACATGCACTCCACTTCAGTGATTTATGGGTAAGTTTGAAAATCAACATTATTCAGTCTTTCAAAATCCTATGGATTATTGCATAATTACAAGTACATTCAGTAACTGTGTTATACATTAAATTTTCCTTTCAACAGATGATTTACTGTGACAGTTCAACAGCGCTGAATTTTTGTTACAATAACTGTATTGAACAGTTAACTGCTACCAAGAAATAAGATGAAAATATATGAAAATGCCAATTATGGAAGGATATTTTATAGCTTTATTAAACGTGGCCTATACTTTTTCTTGATTTCCAAAATGACTAATAGTTCTGTGATTTTTCTCCCTCATAAAAGAGGCACAATTTTGCATCATTCTGCTTTTGATTTTGCGCTTACCTTTCACCCTATAACTCCAAAGCCATGGAAGGTCTTTAGACTCCTCATTGAGCAAGGAAGGACTCAGGCTAGGACCTAGGATATAGCAGGGACCAAGAGAAGTCATATTACTTATTGATCAATTCACACATTTACACATCCTTACAAAAATGCACTCAAATAAATGTGATCATGTCTAAATAAGAGTAGCTTTAAGGGACCTGGCTAAATGTTATTACTTGTTACATTTAGAACTTACTATAAAAATCATAGAAATTTAAGCTGTTTCTCCTTCTTTGGAACAGTACGTGTGTTACATACTTAGGTAATCTAAAATTGGCACAGGAAAACTCTATGTCAAAGTATTGCAGACATCATAGTCAAAAGAACTAATTATTGTTTTCTTAATCTCATAATTCTTTGTATAATATTATCTTAGTTCAAACAGAAGCTTGGAATTCAGACCTACTGAAGGAAATAAGACTAAAGATTTAAAAGTATTTAAAAGCAATACAAAAATCAAAATACAAAAATCAATTTAATTTCTAAACACTCGTAGTTAGCGGTCTGAAAGTGAAATTAAGAATCTATTTACAATAGCACCAAAAACAATAAAATTAATTGCAATAAATTTAACAAAAGAAGTTCAAACAAGCACACAATAAACTGCAAGACATCACTGAAAGAAATTAAAGACCTAAGGAAACAGAAATAAATCCATGTTCGTTATCAGAAGACAAATTTCGTGAAAATTCTGTATTCTCCAAATTAATCTACAGACACAACAGAGTTCCTATCAAAATCCCAGCTACGATTTTTCGGTAAAATTTGACAAGGATTTGAAAGTCATTTGACCAAACATTTCTCCAAAGAAGATACACAAGATAAGCACAGGAAAAGATGATCAATATCATTACTGTGAAGGAAATGCAAATCAAAACCACAATGAGATATCACTTCACATGCATTAGGATAATTAAAATAAAAAAGACA